AGCTCGAGCGCGCCAAGACACACGACGCGTACTGGAATGCGTGCCAGCTCGATATGATGGCCACGGGCAAGGTATCCCACATCTGATCTCTTATGGAAAGCCTCAATATGGCGGTCTAGATGCAAGGGTATCTGCGCCAGTACTGGGGCAAGAAGATCCTCGAGTGGAGTGCGACGCCCGAGGAAGGCCACGCATTCGCAGTCGTTCAGAACGCCAAGTACAACCTCGACGGCTACGACCCGAACGGCTACGCCGGCGTCGCCTGGTCTTTTGGGTATCGACAGACATCTTGGTCCACTGGACAAGTCATGTGTCGTCTGTAGGAAGCACGATCGCGTCTTCTCCGAGCGGCCGGTGTACGGCACGGTGCGCTACATGGGCGCGCGCCGCCTCAACGACATCTTCGACATGCCAGCGTACATTGCGCTCGTCAAGCAGCGCTGCGCCGATGCCAAACTGCCGCATGTGCTTTGCAGTCGCCAGCCAACGCCGCGCGCGGCCAGTCGAGAGCCTCCAGCAAGGCACAGCGCAACGACACGCCGCCTCCTGCCCCAACCGAGCACAAGAAGCGCCGACCTCGGTCTCGAAAGAAGAAGACGCAGACGCCGCCGTCGGGCACGGCCGCCTAAGCGTTTTCATCGTATAATGGACATATTTGGTCCAATACACTGTACACTTTCGACGCTGGTGTACGGAAATTGGCAGGAGCGATTTCTCGCACTGTAGACCTCGCTCGATCACGGGACGTTGCGTTTTGTACGCTTTAATGTGTACTCTATCGACGTGCCAAGATACAGTGATTTTGATTTTGAACGCGATTTGGTCGATCGTGAGTCCTGCGGCGGCGACAACCACGAGCCCATTGTCGTGGATTGGCCAAAAATGGAAGTGAATTACACCAATGAAACCGATTAGATTTAAATTTTATTACATACTGGTTTCGTATGATGGGCCTCAAGTGCCACCAAAGAATCAAATGGCCTATCATGCCGGGAGGGTATGCAGTTGAAGCCTCGGTTTGGTCAGCGAGGCGCCAGCTCCGAGCGCCAGGACATGCCGCGACGACCTCATCGATAGCTCAATTTGCTGCGAATGTGCTAGGCAGCCTGATTTTGAGATTGTCCACATCGTCGCTCGGCGCATCGGTGTCTCGAGTGATTGAGCACAGAGTCAGAAGAATCAACCCTACTGCCACTTGAATTCCACCGCATCAGCACTCCGCATTATTAGCTCTCCGAAAGCCTGACCTCGCTCCAAGTCTTGCGTATGTACGAGGTACACTGTACTGTCGCGACGGACATCGGTCAACGGGGGCGAGGTCGACTCAACTCACAACCGTATTGTGCCGGGTTCGTCTCTACAACGTGTACCCACATCTTTCTTTCCCAGCGACGTGCCATGCATTGTGTCGATTCATGCAAGCAGTACGTAGTGGGCGGTCACGCAACGCAAACGACAGAGTGCTAAACTGCGGGTATGCATTCTCCATGGTCAATGCTTACATGGTGCGCTTGTAGATCTTGCTGAGGAGCATGTGGAAGACGGTCGCGGGCATGTTGTTGACGGCGCCGATGAGCTTGCAGAGCTCGTCGTAGCTCTCGTTCTCGTATTTGCGGTAGACGCCCTCGAGGTCGAGCGTGACGTAGAGCGCCTTGATGACGGCAATCGACGCCTCGTTGTTCTTGCCATAGTGCTCCTTGATGACCGCACGCTGCTCGGGCGTCGCGCGGGCCAGCGCCTGGACGACGAGCCAGCTGCACTTGTTGTCCTGGATGTCCGTGCCAATCTAGCAAGAGCATATGAGTTCTTTTCGAGACAGTCGTCCTACGAGGGAGCTCACATACCTTGCCAAGGACTTCCGGGTCGGCGTAGCAGTCGAGGTAGTCGTCCTGGACCTGGAAATACTCGCCGATCTTGACGCAGATCTCCTGCGCAAGCGTGTAGCACGCCGGGTCCGAGACGCCGCTACGCATCCAGCGTGAGCGCTTCTTCCATTGCCATCAGGAGTACCTCAGGAACATGGCCGAGGCCGCCGAGAGGTAGAACGTGTAGTACGCCGTCTTGAAGACAACGATCTTCTGGTGACTACAAATCGCACGCTGCATGAGTATCGTCGTGCATGAAAATGAGGTCATCGCACCGTTCGATCGTGAAGCGGTCGAGGTTCGTCGGGCCGTCAAGCGGCTGCGACGTCAAGTCGAGGAGCTGGCCGAGTTCCGTCTGGAAGATGACCTGCTCACAGCATAAGACACTGTTGCAAGGCGATATCCATGGACTACCTCCTGGAAGGTCTCGACGAGGTCGAGGTAGTAGCTCTCGCCGCGGAAGTGCGTCTTGAGGATTTGGTAGACAAACGACTCGAGCAAGAACGCGTCGTTGATGGCGATCTGCTTGACCTTGGGGATGCGGTACCAGCACGGCTGGCCACGGCGCGTGATCGAGTCGTCCATGACGTCGTCGGCGACGAGGAAGAACGCCTGGAGCTACAGAGCACCATGCATGAGCATGGCCGCTTCGTCATGCTCTAGGTGTACGGACCCATTCAATGCACCAGCCGAGGATCGCCGCCTTCTTACGGGCCTCGGGCGTCAAGCCCTTGCCCTGCGTCAAGGCTTCGGCGCTACGCATGCAACGTTAACATCCTCCTTCCCAGCAAGGCCATGATCGCACCAGTGGATGACGCTGATGCCACGGTTCAGCTTGCCGCCAATGCAGTTGTAGTCGATCATCTAGCAGGGACCATCGCATCATGAGCGGCTGTCTACTTGACTGCCATGCGTACCTCGTTGACCCAGTCGATGGCCTCCTGCGGCATCGTGTACTTGGTCTTCATCGTCGTGAGGACCTCTTCCTTGAGCTCATAGCAGATCTTGATGAACTCTACGAGGAAGCGTCCATGAGCTCGCATCCTCGTCTCTTCCTCGAGCTACCGTCAATCTCTTGCTGCTTGCTGGTCGTCGTCATGGTCGTCTGCGTCTCAAGGGGCCAAAGTGGAAATGCCCTCCCGTCGGCCTGGCGCCCGTCACGCAACGCTCTGATTGGCTGAAAATGGCATTTGCAACGCTGGACCAATCAAATCGCCTTGCGCCAGAAGCGGAGCGGGCGACGTCAACTTGGACTGTCCCTTCCAGCGTCTCGATGTAAATGCATAGTGTCGACCAGGATGCACAGGTTGTCTACTGCGACTTCACTACTCCAATGCCAAGTCCTAGCCAAGAAGAAGCACACTCCTCAGGCGCTCTTTGGGACACGGACGATCGAGCGTCGTGGCACGGGATGATGACGCCAAGGCCGCCACCCAACGTCATATCCAGCATGGAGTTTCCTCTCGCTTCGTCCTCCTTCGTTAGCAGACGATAGTGTGGTTCATCTATGGCGTGCTCGCTTGGACGCGTGCCTCAAAGAACGCGAGCGCATCGTCCCATAGCTCGATCGGAAGACGTTCGGCGACATGAAACCACGCTTCGATCTGCACGTTGCCTACGTAAATGCGATCAACTTGTACAAGGCGTAGATGAAGAGGGCATCATACCAGACGGCCGAGCATGGACGTCCATGGCTTGTTGCGAGCTTTTGAGCCGTCGGAGGTAGGCGACGAGGAGCATGCAGTGGACGTCGGTCTCGAGAATGACGCAGTTGTCGGCGTCGCCGTCGCAGATGGCAATCAGCGTCGGGAACAACGCGTCTTTGAACCTACTCCATGGTATCCTCGTTGGTTATATGATGCTGAGAGCGAAATGCGTACCGCGGTTCGCAAAAGAAGGCAAACGGCAGGTTGGTGAGGCGCTGGATCATGCTCACGTGGCCCCAGCGCAGCGTTTCTTGGTGCGATGCGTGGCGCAGCGCATAGTGCCCGAGCAGCACGACGACTTGAACGACGAGGTCGTCGAGGCACCGGTCTGTTTGGTGTTTGTTGAGGACACTCGCGACAAGATGGAGAAACGTCGGCTGATTGAGCGGCGACCCGAGCGTGTCTTGGAACCACACGAGATCGAGGCGCGCAATGTTGTTGAGCACGTGGAGTACGAGTGTCGCAAAGGCGACGCTGCTCGGCGTGACGGTGCTTTCGTGACAGTCGTGGAAGAGCTGGAGCGGGAACCAGCTCACAAGTGCGGCGACGATCCCGACCAGGCCCGTGCTCTTGAGGATCTTGACGAGCGGCAGTCGGAGGTCGGCCATCGACACCACGAGCGTCTTGGTGCACGTCGTCGTGAGCGCAGCGAGAAAGTGCACGCACGACACGAGGAGCCGGAAGCTCTCGTCGCCCTCCGCTGGTGGGGTCGGCACTTGGGCCAACTTGTCGACGATGCGAAACAGAATGCCAGAATTAACAATGTACCTAGGAGAACTTGACGCCTTTGATAAAAAGCAAAAAGACATTACCGAATGACGTCTTGGCGCACCATGTCCATCTTGGGCGACGACGGGCTCACAAGTGTCATGGCGACAGCCGGAAATGCCCAAAGCAGCACCGTGTGGCGGCCGTCGTCGTCGTCGGTGACGGTCAAGCCCCAGCGCAAGACGTCCACGAGCGGCAAGACGAGGTTGTCGGCCAGAAGACACTCGACGTTGGTGCGCTGGCCTCCGCACACGAGCAAGAGCACGCGGAGTGCACTGACCATCGTCTCGGCGTTGCCGCTGCGCTGAGCGTACGTCAACGCGCGGACCGTCAACGTCAGGCCGCGCAGTTTGCGAAAAAGGTGGAGCGCCGCGTCGCCGTCGGTTGTCGACTGCAGAAACCGCGAGACGTCCGCCAGCCCCTTGTCCACGTCACTCTACCATTCCCAGGGTGAGAAGCATATGATGCCACGGACACGCACCGGTGATGCGAGCGATTGTACGAGACCTTGGACTTGTGCAGCAAGCGTCGGCGCGTGCGCCGGCACGGGACCTTGGAACCCATGCTTTGTGTGCGCCTTCATGCGGTCGCGCAGGCGCTGGGCGTTCTTGTTCATCGTTCGCGCCATGCTTGTCTCGAGCGAGAGCAAGTGCTGCGCCATCTTTTCTTGCGGGTGCGAGCTTCGAGGACGTCGCGGCTTCTTGGCTTGCTGGTACGAGAGCCGGCGCGCTTGCACGCCCTCGTGGCGTCGCTGAATGTCGTGGATCTTTTGCGTCAGCGAGGCTTCCTTGGCTTTGGCCAGTGCTCGGATGCTCGCAGCCTACATGGTATACAGAGTAGAACCAGCAGCTCGGCTATGTCAAAAGAGAGTCTACCTTGAGACTCGCCTTCTTTTTGATTTCATCCAAGACTATCTCCCGGCGCGAGGCCACGTGGTCGAGGCGTTGTTGCAGCTTCAAAAACGATTAGAGTCGAGTGGTGCCAAGTCAAGTGCGTACTTCGATCTTGCGGTCTTGGTGGATCATACTTTGTATAAAGTTGATTTCGTCCACTTTGGTGTTTTCCGACCCGGCCTTGGTGACGATCCAGCGCAAATGGGCTTCCTTGAGCCGATCCGCGCGGTCCAATTTCGCCCACATGAGTTGCTACAAGGTACACCATGAGACGAGAAGCAGCGCCGAGAGAACAAACCTCTTGCTTCTTGCGCGACGACGCATTGCGAGACGTGACGTGCTGCATGCGCTCGGCCGCTAGTCGAATGCGCGACAACTACCACGACGGTCGCCTCATGTTGTCAAGGTCCAGGAAGAGACATACCCGCGCCGACTCGATCGCGTGCTTGTTGGCTGTGACCGTGTCGAGCCGCTGCTCGGAGAGGAGTTTTGTCTCGGACGGCGACCGCTTTGGCTTGCGTGGCAAGCTGAGCTTGGGCTGGTACTTGGGCGACGATGCGGGTGCTCTACGGTGTCCATGATACTTCGAAAGCAACCACTTTAGTATACGGGACGGGCCGGGGCTTGGCTTTGGAGCGGGGGTCGGACCCATTGGACGACGTGCTGTTGCGACGATGGTGATGGTGCGTCGACTTTGGCGTCGACCGCGGGTAGACCTTGGCCATGTGCTCGAGCGCCTTGGCGACCGTGGGCTTGTCGGCGTTAGAGCCTTTCTTGACTTCCCATGCAAGCGACTTTTGCGTCGAGCTCTTGGTCTGCATTTGAATGAGCTCGAGGAGCTACACCAAGACGCATGAGACGTCGCAAAGAAGAGGCAAGATGGAACGTGCCTTGATAAAGTCATCTTGGCAGGCTTGGAGAACCCGCGCCGCGTCTTCGCAGCGGGATGGGATGCTCTCGAGCTCGCACATGCAGTAGAGCTCGTCCACAGCGCTGTCACTGCATGAGCACGCATCGTCATGGAGATCGTACCTATTAACGTTGCGCACGAGGTACTCCCAGAGCCGCTGCTTGAAGGAGACGCGGCCCATCTCTTCGTCGTCGTCGTCGTGGGTGCCAACATCGTCCTCCTCGACCTGCTCGACGTCGTCGTCGGGCTTGTCTTCGTCGTCGCTGCCATACACGCTCTCTACCATGCATCGTCGCATCCCATGCAGATTGCCGCATGGCATCCACGCCGGCGTACCTCGACTCGGGCTCGGACAGGCATCGTCTTCCCTCGCATCGTCAAGGTCGTCGTCGTCGACCTCCTTGTCCTCGTCTTCCTCGTCGTTGTCCATCGCGGGATGCATCGCTTCGAGCTTCATCGAGGGCGCGCTCCTCATGGCCTTGGTCCGCGCTCTGTCCGTCTCGAGCATGGCGGCGTCCAAGTTCAAGTAGATGCGACAGTAGCGCCGGCCGACGAAGTGATGCGCCGGTTCGCGGATCTGTAGCTCGCGAACCTCCCGCAAATTATATGCATTTTCGCGGGATTTCGATCTTTTTTCTTCCGTCGAACCAGCCTGCGCCATCAGCATGTCGACGATCGACATCAAGCTCGCCCGCGTCGACCGCATCTACCGGCCCCATGTACGCAGGCTCACGGCCTATGGCCCATGGCCTATGGCTCATTCTGCCTGCTGCCTGCGTAGGAGCTCGTCCAAGGTCATGTCATCATCCATGCGACCAACGCGTTCGCCCACCAAGGCATTAGCATGCGCGTCGAGGGCAGCGCGAAGCTCCAGCTGAGCGCCAAGAGCGTCGGGCTCTTCGAGGCCTTTTACAACACGGTCGCGCCGCTCGAGCTCGTCTACTTCCACATCCCGATCATCGGTCCGGGCAAGGTGCCGGTGGGGATCACCAAGGTGCCATTTGAGTTTGAGCTGCTCGGCGCCAACCCCAAGCAGTGCTTTGTCGAGACGTACCATGGCGTGTACGTCAGCGTCAAGTACGACATCATATGCGACTGCGTTCGCGGCCTCATGAAGAAGAACCTCCACAAGACGCTCGAGTTCATCGTCGAGGTCCCGCTGCGCGACGCGCTGCCCGACGCTCCGGAAGAGTTTACCATCACGCCCGACAAGATCGAAAACCTCCGCGTTCGCGTCTACGTCCATGTCTCTAGCGCATTCTCATATGCCTGCATTAGAACACGATGCGCAACATCCCATCCTTCCGCATCTCGGGGCGCATCCACCGAACCAACTGCCCCGTCAACATGCCCTTTACGGGCGAGATCACGGTCGAGGCGGCGTCCGCGCCCATCAAGAGCATCGAGCTCCAGCTCATCCGGGTCGAGAGCGTGGGTACGGATCGAGCCGCATCGATGCCATGAGCTCATGCCAGTTTGCATCTAGTACACGCCGAAGGCATCGCCCGGGACGGTACGTGCGATCGCAGCACTTCCACCGTGCTAAGCGCCTTCTACTGCGTAGCGACCGAGATCCAGAACGTCCAGATTGGCTGGGGCAATGTGACGCAGCAGGTTGCAATCCCGATCTACATGATCTTCCCGCGCTTGTTTACGTGCCCGTCCATGCTCACGCCAGGTCCGTGGCCGTGACGCTGGCATTGGTATGAGCGTGCTGTAGGCTTCAAGGTGCAGTTCGAGGTCAATGTTGTCGTGCTCTTCGAAGACGGCTACATGATCACCGAGAACTTCCCGATCCATCTCTACCGCTGACCGACCGCTTGAAATGTAGCAGCGATAATCTTCTTGTGTTACGTCGAGGGTTGCTTCTTATTCCTGCGCCGTCCAATTCATCATGAGCGACGCATTCTCCAGCTGTGCGTCACAGAGGCGCGTCGTCGTGTCAAACGCCACCGCCTTGGGTGGGTACGCGGACCGCAGTTCAAACTCGCGCGTCTGAGCTTCGGGAATCTACGCACGCACGCCGTATGATGAGCCCATCCCTCTCTAGATACGCCATTACTTCGTGGCGCACAAAACGCCAGAGCAGCTCGAGCGGGTCCGTCTTTTGGAAGCGACGCAAGAGCCGGCCGCCCGTCGCTGTTCGGATCTGAATGCGCGTCACCGACGGGCCATCTACCAGAAGCGTCGCGTGAGCAATCTTCGTTCAAGATACAAGCGTATGTCGCACCCGCAGGCTCCTCGGGCATCGGGGCCAAGACCGGTGGTGCGGCAACGACCGAGGGCTTCTCTTCAATGACCATATCATCGTCGCTGTCATCATTGCCGCCGCCTTCGAGAGACGCCGCAATCGCTGCGGCCAGCTGCTCCTCCTCCGAGGCATCGTACAAGCTCGTCGCACGGGCCGGCGGTGCAGGCGCCTACGTCGTTGGGTCAGGATGCATGCACGCTCGGGTGGTTACCGTACGGCTTGCGCTTGCGGGCGCGCGGGTGGCGCGGTCTCCATGTCGTTCAGGCAGCAAAAGTCCGAGACTAGACGCTTATCAGCATCCAAAGGTAGCGAGGTCGTATAGAGCGTACGCTTCTCCGTCATGACGCCGGGTTCGATAAAGTTGTGCCATTCCACGAGCTTCGCGCCCGTGCGCGGGTCGAGAATGCACACGATGGGCAAGAGGCCCTCGTCGACTTGGTACAAGGCGCAAAACTTCTTGCCGTGCTCGTTGTTGGCGGGCGTCTAGAGTGCAATAACCATGAGCCTGTCATTTCTCACGTTGCAAATACTGTACCTGCCAAAAGACAAAGCCGCTCGCGACCAGGTTCTGCACAAGGTCGTCGCTCCACGTGTCGCGGTTGAGCATGAGGCTCGCAAAGACAGTCTCGTCTTGAATGTTGACGAGGAGCCACTTTCGCTGCTCGGTCGCATGCCGACGGGCCTACACATGCGCGTCCATGACCCTCCGGTCCTGCAACGAGAAGACGCGTACGTCAGCAAACGAGCCGTGAAACATGAGGCCCGTCGGGGGCTGGAAGAGCTGCGAGAGGTTTTGCGGATCGCGCCGGGCCGAGGCGTCTACCGCCACACGCTGCATCATGCAATGCCATCCTCACATTACGATGGCGTACCGCTGTCGGGTTGGCGCGACGAGTTCATCTGCTGCGCGAGGCGCTCGATGCTCTCTTGGGCAAAGTCCTGCTGCACCAAGCCGTGCGCGTTGAGGCCACCGGCGGACGTAAAGTCGTTGTAGCGCGAGACGTTGCCGGGGCGGGTAAAGAACTGCGGCGCCGGAAACATGCGGGGCGAGTCGTACGGGTCGCCGCCCACGAGGCGCTGTCGCTTGGCCGCGTCGGGCGCGCGGACGTCGTCGTCGCCGTACGAAGTCGACGCTTGGCCGGACGCGGCGCCGCTCCCCCCGCTCTCCATGAAGAGGTTCACGGCCTCTTCCATGTGCCAGTTGGTGATGTCCAGGTACTGCTGCGCGGTCCCGGCGTCGGCCCCTGTGATGGCCATGAAGCTAGAGGAAGACGATACACATGGTGAGGAAGGGAGAGCGATGGAGATGCATCTACTTGGTCAGCGCTTCTTCGTTCATGCTGCTTGGCCGGTTCTGTGGATTTCGAGCACTGGCCAACGCTCCGATCGGACGTCGCGGAATGCAGGTCGTTTTTAATACAATCCCATGGATCTTGCGCCTTTTTCGCTGTAATTTTATGTCACCTTGATGCTTGTATTGGATGGGATTAAAACCAAAATAATATCCTGCGAAATCCAGAAAAAGGCGGTGGCTTCGACGGATGCAACGCGAGAGAAACCGAGAGCTCGTTTGTGCTCAGTTGCGAATTTGCCCGCTCGACCCATCCATCAACGGTAGTGGTGTTTCCATTCGTATGTATCGACGGGCGCCGTCTTAGATTCTTGCCGATTTGAGCGCCGCTGGCGCGATGTCGGTCGCAGGCATCCGCAATTACTATGCGGGCGACACCCTATTTGTGGTGCGGAGCCGCACAGGGCTCTTACCAAG